ATATTATAAATGATATTCTTATCAAATCTAACAATACATCAGTGTTCCTATATATATTCCCATATACATAATAATATCACACATTGTAACTTGGCTTAAATTTCTCTTAATTGTTCTATCAATACATCAAATCTTTTTTAGGTTGTTCTATTCTCTATCCATTGATAAAACAAATTCCATACCATGTAATATTCAGTTTCTTCTTTTTCTTTAATTTTTAGTGTCAATCTATTCATTTCTGCACATTCAAATATTTTTTCAATTATTTTTCCCTCTATTGGTATTTTATCACTTTTCCAATTTTGAGCAAATACAATCCTAGCCGCTGTTTAGTACATGGATAATTAAGTAAATCTTTTCTTTACTATAACCTTCTGGTACCATTTCTAATAGGAATGTTTTAGGTTTCAAATCTATAAGTTGTTTAATCGTTTTTTTCAAACCATGTGTGCATTTTAGTCTAGTACCTTTTAGCCTCTGTGCAAATCCACCACATATGATAATATGTTCCTGGTGTTTGGTGACATTTCCAACATTTTGTTGATTTATCTTTAAACATTTTTGCTAGTTTTGCTGGTGCTAAGTGCCATCTATAAAACATCTTATACAATCACTTGGAGGTTTTAGTTATACAATTTGAGATGAACACCCTTGCAATGGTGTGGGAGTAGGGATAGATTCCCAGAGAAAAAAGAATTGCAGACTACAGGAACCATTTCGGTTACTCAGATGACCCTGAAGACATAGATGAACCTCCAAGTGGCCTCAACATCCCTCCCAAAGGATGCAAATGACCAGCTGTCTTGCAAGGAGTATAAATCTTTCCCCACCATCCAGTCAGAGCTGAAGAAGCTTCTCGGATGAGAAGCGAAACGTCTTCCAAAGAAAAACCAGAAAGTCAACTGGGAAAAAAATAGCACCGTCGAGACTTAGAAAGAGAAGTGCAAGAAAAATGCATTTATAACTGCTGTCAAACAGATCAGAATCCATTTCTTTATATTCCTTTTCTTCAACGTCTTTCTATTTTTGTGGCTGTAGCAGTTTCACAGCAATTTTGATATGTAAAAATAGTCCTCTGCGGCTCTTTTCTAATTATCTGTCCATTAATGCTAATAAGGAAAGTTCTGGTTTCAGTTGAATCTTGGTTTTTAAAATACACTTTGTATCAGTGTATGCACAGGTAGTCCTCCACTTACATCAGTTCGTTTAGTGACTGTCCAAAGTTATAACATCACTGGAAAAAAGTGACTTTTGACCATTTTTTCACACTTAAGACCGTAGCAGCATCCCCATGGTTACATGATCAAAATTCAGGCGCTTGGCAACTGATTCATACTTATGACGTTTGCAGTGTCCTGGGGTTACATGATCCCTCAGTTTAACACCTGCAATGATTCACTTAACGAATGTCCTAAAATGGTACAAAACTCACTGAACAACTGTCATGCCCTGTCGGAGTCTGAATCCGAGGAGGAAGACAAACAGCTGACAGGAAGTGGGAGTGTACTCCGTTGGCTATGGAGGTAACTGGGGAAGGGTAAAGTCTGACTGGGCAGAGCAGGGGAGAGGTAGAACAAGGGAGAGGGAGTTCAGAGGAAGATCCGGGCCCACCCGCTCTTCATCCTAGGGCACACAGGGAGGAACGGAAAAGGGAGCAACCTGGGTGGCGTGGCTTGCGGGGGAGGAAAGGGCCCTGATTCCCTTCATTAACCACACCTGGGGATGGAGTTTAAAGGAGAGGCAGTTGGGAAAGTTGTTTGTCAGGAACAAACGTTGAATTTATCTTTTGTTGGTTGCTGTTATGTGAGTTCCTGGCATCCTCCCAACTGGTTTGATTTACTGCCGTGTTACTTCACTTCTGGAACTCCTTATCTTGCCCTGCCGGATTTATTGCCTTATCTTGTCTTCCTGAATTCATAGTTTAAAGTTTTCGGTTTATAACATTTTTGGACTGGAATATCTGTAGTCAAAGGCTGTTGCAGGTTCCTGGGAGAGTTTTTCTCAAGACCCGAAGGTAACCAGAACATTGGGGGCAAAGTTGGCGCTAATAAAGAGATCCCTACTTATAATTCTGGCTGTGTTGCCTTTGGCTGGAGAATTCTGGGAATTGAAGTCCACAAGTCTTAAAGTTGCCAAGTTTGGAGACCTCTGCCTTAGATCAACTGTGGAACAACTTCCATCACATGAGATTTTCAAGAAGAGACTGGACTGCCATTTGTCAGAAATGGTGTAGGGTCTCTTGCTTGGGCAGGGGGCTAGACTAGATGACCTACAAGGTCCCTTCCAACTCTGTTAAAACTGTTAAACTCCAGTTATTGTGTTGTGTACGGTAACACAGCTGTGGTGGCTCCCCTTGTGACAAACTTGAAAAAGAATTTCCATGATCTTAAATCAATACCCGAATGTGTTTTTAATAGACTTGTGCTAATGGAGACTTTCAAAGGTACAGAGGTTACGATTTTAGAATTACATCTCAACGCTGAACCCTGAAGTTAAAAAAAAAAAATGAAAATTGAAGACATAATTATTGTGGGCTTATTCAAAAATCCCAGCTGACAATCAGACCGACAAAAACTGGAACAAGGCCTATTCAACGCTGTACTCTGTTTCCTTTGGGGCAGAAAATGAATGCAAGCCTTAGGACAATCTCCATTGATCCAAGTAGATCCTGCAAAAGTGAATTTCCGTAGAACCAGTAATTGCTGGGAGGGTTAATTCATATTTGCACACAAGTCTCCCAGACGCCCCGAATTAAATCAATTACGAACGATGCTGCAAACGAACAGGAGAAGCAATATGTTCATTTATGGCTTGACGTACTGGCAAGAGTTGCGTTCCCAATTGTTGTGGTTGGCTGTTCTTTGGGGAAAGTATGAATAACTAAGAAGGCATGGGAAGATCATTCATCTCTTTGGGGCAACTGGGGGCAGGATGGGAAAGGTTGCTTTACTCCATTGCGGAGCGGATTAAAACAGACTAGCTGCTATCGGTGGCAACCCCAACTGTAGCGCAAGTGATCTTCCTTCATAAGGGCCGCTGTCTTTTCTCGTTCTGCATTTCATTTCTGTTTTTAAAAAGCAACCTCCATTGAGAATGTACTTGGTAACCCAGGTTAAAGCTGCCTAATGTTCACCTATCCAATCTGTCCAAGAAAGTTTTTTATTTTGCCTGGAATTTTCCTCCTCCTCCACTTCCTTTCTTCTTCTTCTTCTTCCTCCTCTTTCTTCTTCTTCCTCCTCCTCCTTCTTCTCCTCCTCCTCCTCCTCCCCTCCTCCTCTCTTCTTCTTCTTCTTCTTCTTCTTCTTCTTCTTCTTCTTCTTCTTCTTCTTCTTCTTCTTCTTCTTCTTCTCCTTCTCCTCCTCCTCCTCCTCCTCCTCCTCCTCCTCCTCCTCCTTCTCCTTCTCCTTCTCCTTCCCTTCAAGTCAGTATTGGTGTCTGGCAACTACTTGGACAAGACCTCCAAATAAGAGGTTTAACTGGAAGACCTCCAGGTTCCCTTCCAGCCCTACGATTCCATGTCTTGTGGTTCAAGGTCCCCCAGGTAGCTTTGTGCCCAAGGTGGGACTAGAACTCCCAACCTTCTGGTTTCTGGGCTGGATCTCTCATCAAACCGGCCCTCTGGAATAGCAAAGGAGCGACTGGCATCTCCCTCGTGTTGAGCTTCCCCCTCCCCTGACGATGTTCCTGGGGTTTCTTGGCAACAGGGCCGAGGTGATCTGGTTCATTTATTTGGGGATGTTTCTTCCCACTCTCTCTGCTCATCTCCTGCCCCAAGATCTCCTGGTGGTCTCCTTTCCCCAGTGCTAACCCACAGGCCTGACACTGAATCAGTCCAAATCCGAATCAGGCTGGAAGGGACCTTGGAGGTCTTCTAGTCCAGCCCCCTGCTTAAAGATTCCATTAGAAGGTCTCAAAAGTAGATCAGGTTGTGACCCCAGGACACTGAGACCGTCATAAATACAGGCCCGTTCGAATTTTGATCCCGTGACCAGGGGTGGGGGTGCTACCAGGGCCATTAAGTGTGAAAACCAGTCCTAGCTCGCTCTTTTCAAGGCCTTTGGAACTTCGGTCACTAAACGAACGGCCATTAAATCAAGGCCTCTCTGTATTTAACCATAGTGGTTAAGGGGCCAGACTGGCCTGCAGAAAAAGCCACCATTCTAAGAAGCCTTGTTCTTCACCGCCACCTAGTGGCCACTTATGATTATTGCAGCCCCCCAGTCTTTCCTATTGGGGTTGCTTCCATGGGGGGGGGGGGGTCCTTGGACGGTCCTGTTGGACCCCTGGCCGAACGCCTGTCCTGAGCCCCGTTCTGAAAGAGAGGGAGAGCAGGAGGAACGAGGGAAGGAAAACAAGGGGAAAAGGTGATAGAAAAGAGGGAAGGAGGGAGAAAGCCAGAGAGAAGGAGAGAAAGAGAAAAGTTTGAAAAGGCAGCGGAGCCCTCCAAGGAAAGAAAGAAAGAAAGAAAGGAAGGAAGAAAGGAAGGGAGGGCGGGAAGAACGAGAGAAGGATAAAAAGTGATAGAAAAGAGGGAAGGAG